TTCCTCATTAATGTACACACAGCACCCCATATTTACAGAAAAACACAGAATTGTTGACATCTTTGCAGATTTATTAAAAAAGAAAAACTGAAAAATGCTCAGTATTTAGTAGAAGCACCCTCTTGATCTAATACAGCCATGAGTCTTTTTGGGAAAGATGCAACAAGTTTTTCACACCTGGATTTGGGGATCCTCTGCCTGGCTGCAATATAACAAAGAGTGAAAAATTTAAGGGGGTCTGAATACTTTCCGTACCCACTGTATATATATATATAAAATAAGTCATGGGAATTCTGGGAAAATGTTGAAATTGTGAAATATTAACTCAGAATTGCAAGATATAAACTTGCAATTTTTAAGAAAAAATTCATAATTGCGAGATATAAATTTGCAAGTTTAAGAAAAAAGTCAGAATTGCGAGATATAAATTTGCAAGTTTAAGAAAAAAGTCAGAATTGCGAGATATTAACTGACAATTTAAAGGAAATAAGTCAGAATTGTGTTTTATAAACTCTAAATTCTAAGAAAGAAAGTCTAAATTATGAGATATAAACTTGGGGTAAAATTCTAAAACTCAAAATTGGAAGATATAAACTCTCTGGACAGCTTTTTTTTTGTTTGTTTATTTATTTTTATTTTGTTATTTGTTGTGGAAATGGTCTTCTAAAGCTACAACATGGAAGGCTAATTCTTTAAAGGGATAAAATTTGCCAACAAATTGCTACATAAGGATTACAACGACTGTCCAATTCATCAAGCACATAAACTCCTGTCCTTACGTCAGCAACTTATGTTTCTTAAGCACACAACAGTTTGAAACTCACGTTTGAAGTATGAATATGTGTAATTTATTCTAAAACCCATTGGAAACTCAGAAGGGAATCCATGGCTTGAAAATGCTAATTCTGTAACGCGTTTTAGGATACAAACCGAACAGCTCTATTGAGCACTGAATGCTTTTGAGAGGCTTTAGAAGCGGTTTCAAATCCTGAAAATGAGAAGGGGAGAAATAATGGATGCGGGCCAGATGCACGCAGCGGGGAATAAACTGGTGATTAAAGGAATGTGGAGGAGTTTGAGTAAAAACATAAAAAAATGGCTTTCGTTTAAAACCTAGTGGGCTGCCTAAACAGTGTTTTTGACATCATAACCAGGTTTCAACGCATCAATCATGTCTGAAAATGTTAAGCTAGGAGACTTACTAACTAAAAACAAAGGAAGGAACAATAGAAAAACATGTTTGAGATGGATATAGTTAAGCTAAAAGTGTTTTTGACCGTGGGTCTGCTGAAGTGAATCAGCTCTCTGTTGTGTGACCAGGAGAAGCTTGAGGTATTCAGACACACGGCTCACAGAGGTCCTTCATGAATAAAATAGCACGGTGACTACCTCTCCTCCATCTCAGTCTGCACTGCACCTGTGTGGGGAGATCTAGCTCAGCAGGAGCGGACAGAACACCTGTGGATGTGAGAGAGAGACAGACGGATAGATTCTCTGATGGTGGAAGCAACTCAATGAACTTTTTCTGTTTTAGTACATCACGTTGTATGAGAATAGGCTGCATTAAAGGGATAGTTCACCCAAAAATGAAAATTCTGTCATTAATTACTCACCCTCATGTCGTTCCAAACCCCTGAGACCTTTGTTCATCTTCGGAACAAAAATTCAGATATTTTTGATGAAATTCGAGAGCTTTCTGACCCTGCGTAGACAGCAATGCAACTGAAATGTTCCTAGACACACTGTAAAAAAAAATCCGTAAAAATTTACAGTAAAAAACTGGCAGCTGTGGTTGCCAGAATTCTACTGTAAAAAATAAGGTAGTAAAATTTTAGGTTTTACAGATTTAATTTAAATTAACATTTAAAAACCGTATTTCATTAACTGATATAATGTTAATATACCAACACACATGATACTGAAATAATGCAATAAGCATTAATTTAACAACATTAGATGTAACATACAACCCTAATTTACAAAACTGGTATGAAAAAACTAAGAAACTAGTTATTTCAACGAAAAAACATCAAATGTGAAATGTAATGCAGGGAATGTCAATTCATGTTTTTTCACTGTAAATTATACATTCTTTTTCACTTCCAAAAACTGTACATTACTGTAAAATTACATGTAATGCCCAACACAGATTTTCATCATATATAGTAAGGGAACTTACTGTTAACCAATTAATAGGTTTTTACTGTAGCATTTTTACAGTCTTTTTTCTGTTAAAATCACAGTCATTGTTTTACAGTGTAGTAAGGGCATCAAATAAATAGTCCATGTAACATCACGTTATGAAGCTACAAAAATACTTTTTCTGCACAAATAAAACAAAAATAATGACTTTATTCAACAATTTCTTCTCTTCCGTGTCAGTTTTCGACACGCGTTCACAACAGTACAATGCATGTGTGTGTATTCCTCTGCTTGCACACAAGGTGCAGTCATTATTGTTGTTTTCTTTGCATACAAAAAGTATTCTTGTAGCTTCATAAAATTATGGTTGAACCACTGATGTCTCACCCAAAAATGAAAATTCTGTCATTAATTACTCACCCTCATGTCGTTCCAAACCCCTGAGACCTTTGTTCATCTTCGGAACAAAAATTCAGATATTTTTGATGAAATTCGAGAGCTTTCTGACCCTGCGTAGACAGCAATGCAACTGAAATGTTCCTAGACACACTGTAAAAAAAAATCCGTAAAAATTTACAGTAAAAAACTGGCAGCTGTGGTTGCCAGAATTCTACTGTAAAAAATAAGGTAGCAAAATTTTAGGTTTTACAGATTTAATTTAAATTAACATTTAAAAACCGTATTTCATTAACTGATATAATGTTAATATACCAACACACATGATACTGAAATAATGCAATAAGCATTAATTTAACAACATTAGATGTAACATACAACCCTAATTTACAAAACTGGTATGAAAAAACTAAGAAACTAGTTATTTCAACGAAAAAACATCAAATGTGAAATGTAATGCAGGGAATGTCAATTCATGTTTTTTCACTGTAAATTATACATTCTTTTTCACTTCCAAAAACTGTACATTACTGTAAAATTACATGTAATGCCCAACACAGATTTTCATCATATATAGTAAGGGAACTTACTGTTAACCAATTAATAGGTTTTTACTGTAGCATTTTTACAGTCTTTTTTCTGTTAAAATCACAGTCATTGTTTTACAGTGTAGTAAGGGCATCAAATAAATAGTCCATGTAACATCACGTTATGAAGCTACAAAAATACTTTTTCTGCACAAATAAAACAAAAATAATGACTTTATTCAACAATTTCTTCTCTTCCGTGTCAGTTTTCGACACGCGTTCACAACAGTACAATGCATGTGTGTGTATTCCTCTGCTTGCACACAAGGTGCAGTCATTATTGTTGTTTTCTTTGCATACAAAAAGTATTCTTGTAGCTTCTTAATTTAACAACATTAGATGTAACATACAACCCTAATTTACAAAACGGGTATGAAAAAACTAAGAAACTAGTTATTTCAACGAAAAAACATCAAATGTGAAATGTAATGCAGGGAATGTCAATTCATGTTTTTTCACTGTAAATTATACATTCTTTTTCACTTCCAAAAACTGTACATTACTGTAAAATTACATGTAATGCCCAACACAGATTTTCATCATATATAGTAAGGGTTCGACACGCGTTCACAACAGTACAATGCATGTGTGTGTATTCCTCTGCTTGCACACAAGGTGCAGTCATTATTGTTGTTTTCTTTGCATACAAAAAGTATTCTTGTAGCTTCATAAAATTATGGTTGAACCACTGATGTCACATGGACTATTTTGTCGATGTTCTTGATACCCTTCTGGGCCTTGAACGTGGTAGGACCCTTGCTATCTATGGAGGGTCAGAAAGCTCTCGAATTTCATCAAAAATATCTTAATGTGTTCAGAAGATGAACGGAGATCTTATGGGTTTGGAACGACATGAGGGTGAGTAATTAATGACAGAATTTTCATTTTCGGGTGAACTATCCCTTTAAAGGGGTCATATGATGAGATTTCAATTTTTCCTTTCTCTTTGGAGTGTTACAAGCTCTTGGTGCATAAAGAAGATCTGTAAAGTTGCAAATCCAAAGAGATATTCTTTATAAAAGTTAAGAGTCAACCACGCCTACCTAAAACGGCTCGTTCTAACACGCCCCCACATATCTACGTCACTATGTGGAAATATTAGCATAATGCCGCCCAAATGTGCACGCAAAGAAAGAAGGCGTGGTTTCAGGAACAGCAGTAGTGTTGATGCAGCCATGTCAGGGAGACGCTGTGTGATTCAGTGCGAAACCAAAAGCACTTTATTTGGCCTTCCGGAAGTATATGCAATCATTGGTTAAGATTTATTTACAACAGAACAGCACAACCCAGATGTTCGAATTTGTGCAATGCATTTTATGGACGACCTAGAAGAGTACAAAGCTGGCTGTGCACAAAAGGCTATTTCTAAAAAAAAAAGAAAAAAAAAGGGTCAA